TAAACACTACAATACTATATCTGATCGGTATCTCACCCTTTAATAGTTAATAAACACTACAATACTATATCTGATCGGTATTTCACCCTCTACTAGTTAATAAACACAATAATACTATATCTGATCGGTATTTCACCCTCTATTAGTTAATAAACACAACAATACTGGATCTGACTGGTCTCTCACCCTCTACTAGTTAATAAACACAACAATACTAGATCTGACCGGTCTCTCACCCTCTATTAGTTAATAAACACAACAATACTAGATCTGACCGGTCTCTCACCCTCTATTAGTTAATAAACGCAACAATACTAGATGTGACCGGTCTCTCACCCTCTATTAGTTAATAAACACAACAATACTAGATCTGACCGGTCTCTCACCCTCTATTAGTTAATAAACACAACAATATTAGGTCTGACCGGTCTCTCACCCTCTATTAGTTAATAAACACAACAATACTAGATCTGATCGGTATCTCACCCTCTACTAGTTAATAAACACTACAATACTATATCTGATCGGTATCTCACCCTCTACTAGTTAATAAACACTACAATACTATATCTGATCGGTATCTCACCCTCTTCTAGTTAATAAACACTACAATACTATATCTGATCGGTATCTCACCTCTACTAGTTAATAAACACTACAATACTATATCTGACCGGTATTTCACCCTCTACTAGTTAATAAACACTACAATACTATACCTGACCGGTATTTTACAATACTATATCTGATCGGTATCTCACCCTCTACTAGTTAATAAACACTACGTGTTTATTAACTAGTAGAGGGTGAGATACCGATCAGATATAGTATTACAGTGAAGTAATAAGACTTTCTCTTTATTTCTACTTTAATATTACCTGTGTAATACACAGTGAAGTAATAAGACTTTCTCTTTATTTCTACTTTAATATTACCTTCTTTTATGAAAAGAATTTTCCTTTATCAACATGAAAAGTATTCGATTGCCTTTAAAACACACTGATCATGGTTTCTTAGTTAGACCGTTAGCTGTCAGGATCGAGAAGGAACAAGCGATCCTTAAAGCCGGAAAGACGACCAAGTTGGAATGTCAGGCTATCGGTTCCCGCCCTGCTGCTGTCGTCACGTGGTGGAAAGATGGCAGGAGCCTAAGGAATGTCAAGTCGAGTAATTCAGTAGATGGAAACGTCACAACAAGCATATTAACATTTAAACCATCTATTTTGGATAACAACAAAACCCTGATTTGTAAAGCTCAGAATCCACTTATAAGAAACGTCGTACTGAAGGACGAGATAAACCTTAATATTCACTGTAAGTAACGATAATACCCGTTAAGTATCTTATAAGAAACGTCGTACTGAAGGACGAGATAAACCTTAATATTCACTGTAAGTAACGATAATACCCGTTAAGTAGAAACGTCCTACTGAAGGACGAGATAAACCTTAATATTCACTGTAAGTAACGATAATACCCGTTAAGAAACGTCGTGTTGAAGGATAAAATAAACCTTAATGTTCGTTTTAAGGGTTTATTATCCTGTAGAAGATGAATCCGATTAGATCAATCATTATAGTGAGAGACCGGTCAGATATAGTATTGTTGTCTTTATTAACTAGTAGAGGGTGAGAGACCGGTCATATATAGTATTGTAGTGTTTATTAACTATTAGGGGGTGAGATACCGATCAGATATAGTATTGTAGTATAACACAGGTAATATTAAAGTAGAAATAAAGAGAAAGTCGTATTACTTCACTGTGTATAACACAGGTAATATTAATTAGAAATAAAGAGAAAGTCATTACTTCACTGTGTAAAGCACGGGTAATATTAAAG